ACGTTTTAAGGTAGCCTGAGGGGAAATCCATAGGCTATTTATTTGTGTTAAACGCGAGTAAAACATATCCTTATTTATTTTGTTAATAAAAGTTCAAAGTTTAATGTTTTTGTTGTTGTTGTTGTTGTTGTTGTTTTCGATTAATAATAATGAGCCATAAGCATGCATTTAAAGTGAGGGGAAAATCCAAAAACCTTACATTTATTTGTGTTACAGCGCGGGTACATCAGTCTTATTCAGTGGCGTAGCAAGTCAGCCCCGGACCCATGTGCAAAAAATGTGTAAAAAATGTGTAAATGTTATGGGCTTCAACTCGGTTAACTTAACTTACACTGTAAAATCTAATTAGTTGGGCTTACTTAAAAAAAGCATGCAAACCGATTGACTTGAAAAAACGAAGTAAAGTGAAATAGGAATAGTATGTTGTACTGACAGATGCTTAGTTAGTATAGCTTACTTACACGAGAGTTCTAGTAACTAAAAAAGAACTGTAGGGGTACTTGATCCTTTAATTTAGGTTTACTCATGACTTAGTATAGCTACTCACTGACTCCCAGAGTGCATTACGGTATGAATAAATTATGCAGTTGCTTTGTTTTACAGTTGTTGATTTTATTTGCCAATTGTATTTGCTGTCTTGTGTCAGTAGTAGCACAACAAAAAGAGCAAATAAAATGGTTATTGTTACAATTAATAAAAATAAATGCAATTGAATTGTTACCATTGTTGCGATTTGCGTGCTGAATGTTTAAGTCGGTGTGTGACTTCAGCATGTTACCACACTCTATTTAAGGATTATATAAACCCAATTGTCTTAAGGTATTTATGAAAAATTAATTTTGCAAAAGTTCATTGACTAACACAAGCACAATTAAAATAACACATTAATTAAACTAGAAGATAGATCACCTTCTAAAAGCAACCTATTTATTACTTTTCTTCCCTTGAAGCCAAATTACTCTGACTTCATGATGCATTGCTGCATTAACAGGAAGATAATTATAGTAACGTAAACAAAGTTCCAAGTGCCCAACCAAAGGGAACGCTAATCACTATAATGGTGCATAAAAAAAATAATAAAAACATTTTAGGAAAATCAACATCAATTGAATATGAAGTTAGCTTATGTGATGTTCTCTCAAATATTTCAGTTGTATTGAGAATTCAACATTGAAGATGACTTTGGGAAACGAGTGAATGCAACTACTGAAAGATAATTGCAGACATGGAGGAAATTAGTGAAAAGTTTATTAAGACTCTTTTTCTTTTCTTCTTCTTCTGTTGTTATGTTGCACATTAGCAACATATTAATGCACTGCTGCCTCTCATTGGTTTATTAATGTCATTGGTTCCTTTGTGGCTACTTGAATATTTTAA